GCTGACCTACTTTTGAAAAGATTGAATTTCCTTCTTACAGTGAAATTACAGCCAATGAGTGTTATTTTATTTTAAAAGCTGCAGCTTGAGGAATTTACTTTTACTATCCACCTGTGTCCAAGTAACCATATGGCTACATTTCATTTTGGTTGCCTTTCCTCTTTCACAGGCTGAAGCTTTTTGTGGATTTCAGGGAAGAAATGCTTTTTCCAAACTGGGTCAAATTCTGTCTTTTCTTGCTTTGTGTTTTCTCTCTCTCCCAGGCTCCACTGCAGGTTCCTGCAAATTCCATTTTCTGCTTTATGTGCAAATTCTGCTGATCACCTCCACCTCCTTAACACCCCTCCTGGGCGTCCCTGCCTTCCTTCCGTCTGTGCTGACACCACTATTTTTGACTGCATCTATTTGAAGTGTGGCCATGCCTTTTCTCTCAGTCTTGCTGTCTGGAGTCCTTAGTACAGGCAGGGCACTGTAGTACTGCTGCCCAACCTTTAATAGTGTCTTTCTGAAATCATTGGAAGCTCAATAACACCTGAAAATAGTAAGAACAAAAATAATCCAGAATGCTCAACCAATTGTATATTGAGAGGTGGGTGGGGAGGAGGCAGAAGATTTTGCACATTTTAAATATTTTAAAAGCATTTTTCAAAATCATGTGTTAGACAACACACATGCAGAGGTCAGTTACTGAATTTTAGTCTATTTTGATGTATTTAGTGGAACATACTTACATTGGTTGACTAATGGGTGAGTGAATTTATCCTGCCACTGAAGTATTTGTACTTCAGGAAAACTATTTCTGTGCTAATACTGTGTGTGTCTCAGCTGTGATACATTCCATGCACAGGACTTCATGAGCTTTCTTAAGTGTTGTCATTGTGTTCATTGTAGTTGGCATCACAAGAGTGTTTTTGTTGTCCATTATGACCAAGCAGCTAAGATGTATAAATTATTTTCAGTTTTTTTCTAAGTCCAATACATATGTATATGTATGTATATATAGAAACATTTTTCTAGTAAAGCATTTGGCGTCTTCACAATAAGATGATCTCTTGTTGTTGCTGTTCTTCTTTAGCATGATCACAGCTATACCTGGGTTTTTAAAAGTAAATCTTTAACAGAATCATTAAGCAGTTTTGCAGATTGAAACACGTGTGCAAGTAAAGGAGAATGGCAATATTTTCGATAATTCCAATTACTATTCTCTAACTGCATATTCCAAGAATACGCCTTTTTTTCTTTCCTTTTCTTTTCCCCCTCTTTTTTCCCTATTTTGCTTATTCCAGCCAATTTCAGATAATTTATGTTTTGAATTCAGGTGGACTCTTTCCAGGCAAATGTGCAAAAAACCAGCAGCTGGATGCTCCTTTAAGCCTAATTTTGCTTAGAAGTAAATAAATGCCCACTTACATACACAAATATATATAATAAATATTGCATATAAATGTGTATGTATATGTGCAAAGATATATATATCTTTGTATATATTCATTAAATACAAAGAGGCAAAAGCTGACTGAATCCATTCTAAATAGGCAAACACAATACAGTGAGTAATCTTGGGGAATATGGGAAACATGATTTCTGGTTTCTAGCCTGAACCGGTAATGGGTCACTTGTCAGTCATACTGTGCAATGCACTTCTGCAAGGGATTATCAGCTGTTTGGACTCAGGGCCCTCTCAGTTTCTCCCATTTAAACTGTTAACGGGGGAGGATTAAATATTCTCTAGGGTTGTTGTCTGCTGCTTATCAAATAAGTGCATTGAGTATAGGGGATCTCTTTCTATAGCACTCTTTACATTTATCATTCAGATGAAGCAGGCATCCCTTGTAGGGAATGGGACATTGAGAGGCTCTAGGTCTGCCTGTCTGGCCATGAATTCCATGGCCCGAGGAAAGTGGCATGTTGCCACAAGGATTCCTGGTTTCTGTATATTTGTGTATTCTGACAAAACGTATCAATGAAGTTTTCAGTTGATGCAAATTTGAGAGGAGGTTCTGAGAAGCCGGATGATGGCAGTCAAGGTTTGATGTTGCAAAAACTTAGGGTAGGGGCAAGAGGTTAGAATTAGCAGCTCTCTGTGTTTCGGCTTCACATGAGAGTCTTGCAGCTGAATCTTCCCACTGCTCTTTGGTGATGAAAGCTTGAATTGCTCCAGTTGGTGACCTTCCAAGTCAGACAGTCACTCGGGAAAGCTGGATGTGCTGATTCACCAGAAAGCTTCAGCAGCAAGCTCCAGCAGGAAGCCAAAACGAGAAGCAAAGCAAACCACCCTGATTTACATGAGGCAGTTCTGTTTGTGCATTTACATTAAGATCCATAGGCTGATTTCTGCTTGCTCACTCCCCCCCACTCCCCACTACTTTTTTTTTTTTTTTTTTTTTTTAAACCGTGAGGAAGCGAAGATATCCTGTTACCAGCAAAGAAACAAGGAATCAGGTCCCTACTAGTAATAGCTCTCTGCTACTACTAGTGCTCTGTTTAGCACCAGGTGTAAGCAGGTTGCCATCCTGTTCCTGATTTCCTGTACTGGTTTCTGCCATGGAAGAGGAAAGCAGAGTTGGTTGTTAGCTAAAGTTAGGTGTTTTCTCTCCTGGCTGGTGAGAACAAGTCTATCAGGGCTGGGCAAGTCCATGTAAATCAGAAGAAAAATCTTCCAAAGTGTTTCCAAGTCTTGCCATACCTTGTCATCAGTTTTACAGCAAATTAGGACTGCAGGGATATGCAGAAATCTGTACAATAGAGAATAGTTTTCAAAGTGTACCCTTGTTTGTGTTTTGAATATTGATTAATGAGCCTGATGTCAAACTGCTCAACTGGATTCTCTCTCCGGGCTGTCTTACACCTCTTTCAAGCATTATGCTGCCTGTCTTCTAGGTTTGGGTACAGTCAAATGAACTGCAAAAGTTGGTGTGATGCTATCTATCCTTCCTGGTGGAAATGCCCATCTCATCACTAAGACAGTTAAATAATATGGGGTGTAAAAAGCTACTGACAGTAGCTTTACTGAGTGACAGGGCCTGCCCTCCATTGCCACAGCAGCAGTGAACATCAAGAGATTTGCAACGTAATGATCATCTATTTATTCGGATTAATAGCAGCTGCTAAATAGCTTCTCTAATTCTGCCCTCACCCAAATACAATAATTTCTAGAAATTTTGCTGCCTACTTTGTAAGCACATATGTAAACTAATGAATTTAATGTTTATACTGCACTCTGTGTACATGAAGAAGGGCACAGGAATGATTTGCAGTTTATGCACTGACTTCCCCATTGCAATCCTGCAGTGAAGTACTGGAGATATAAATCTTATCACAGCATGTTGGAATTCTATCTTTTAACAGTTTTGTTGTATTTAAAAGATGTGATGGTTTTTTTAATGTAATATATTTTTTCTTCTTGCTAAATAGAGTCTTTGGAGACTTGGCTAAGGAGAGGAGATCTAATTAAATTCATGTTATGATTCTGGGAGTCACTGAAGCTCTCAGTACTCCCACACATTTATCAATATACTTTTAAGAGGGACAAATCATTTTAGCATTTGCGATGAAGTGAAGATTAATTTATATGTGGTGCAGAGAAGCCCTCAGATGATTGAGCTGCATAACCCTTGCCACAGGTGACCTTTCCTTATGAAAAGGTCTTTCTGAAATAAATCTTAATCAAGTGCCAGTTCTTGTGCTCACTCATGTACTTATGAAAATAGGGATGTGCCTACTACTCAAAGCCTTGTATTGGCACCTGTCTGGCCCATGCTGAGGAGGAAGAAGAGCAGGGCACCCATGGCAGTTTTGTACAGCACCTAGAATAATTAACCTTGTACCACAGCTTTATTCCTATAGTCAAGCATGGCTATGCCATACTAGTGTTTAAAAGAAAGCTGCTGCTGTCATGGTTGTCTCCTGTAGACTCACCGAGATGTGTTTCTCCTGGTTCCAAGGGATCTGCAGTGCAATTCAGTGTCTGGTATGCATATAAATTTTCTCACTGCAGCTGTATGTACTTCTGCAGTAGTTGTTCATGATATGACAACTGCAGTCCCCTCTACCTTAAAAATATGCAGCTACTTAGAAGTGCTGAGTCTTGGAGTGGGTCTGAGGGCAGGAAGTTTCCAAAAATGCCTTACTTTCAATGATGGTGCTTCAGTGCATCTCTTTTGGGTAGAATACAAAGGTATCTGAAGGGTTTGTAACCAGTATGAGTTTGGCAGAGGTTTCAACCTCTCTTTAAATAATTCATAGAGTGCAGGGCCCTCCTTTGACAGTAACAAGTAAAGCACAGCAACTTGAGCCTCCCCCTGGAGACCATCTCCCCCAACTATCCACTCAGAGAAGAGCTTTCCATCCAGCAGAGCCATAATTTCATGAGTGCTCAGACTTTTCACATTCAAGTAATTACACCTTGAAGGCAAACAGAAGATGTAAGCCCAGTCCACTTTTGCTGTGAACAAATCCCATCAGTTTCCAGTGAATTAACTGAAAGTGCTGCCTCCTCCATTTGGTGCAAAATTTTACTTTTTGGTCCAGTGGGCAAGGAGCAGCACAAAAAATTTCTGTCTCACCATTGCTGTCATCAACGATTAGTAAGAAGACCCCCATAATGTACCCTATTGTTGCAAATGTGTTTCCTTAACAAAGGCAAGATATGATGACTTAATTATCCAAGGAAACATCCAGGGATTGCCATGAGACAGAAAAGATGTGGCCAAAAAGGATGTTAAACTCTTGCAGCTTCTGTTGGCTGAGTAACTGCTGAAGTTCTGGTTAAACATAGAAGGGTTTTGACACTTCTTGGGTTTTGGGGGGGG